ACCCCTGGCTGTGGTAGTGAAGGTGGGAGGGCTCAGAAGAGGGAGGGGAGGGGAGGGGGAGAGAGGGGGTGTGCTAGGTTCAGATCAGATATTTTAGGTTAGGCTTAATAAATGTTCACTGTGTGTTGCCCAGAAGGTGTAGTGCCCACAGGGTGTAGCCTGCAGGTGTAGCCCAGCAGGTGTAGCCCAGCAGTAGGTGTAGCTTAGCAGGTGTAGCCCAGTAGGGTGTAGCCCAGCAGGTGTAGCTCAGCAGGTAGCCCGGCAGGTAGCCCGGGCAGGTAGCCCAGCAGCAGGTGTGTGCCCAGCAGTAGGTGGCTTAGCAGGTGTAGCTCAGTAGGGTGTAGCCCAGCAGGTGTAGCCCAGCAGGTGCAGCCCAGCAGCAGGTAGCCCAGCAGGTGTAGCCCAGCAGGGGTGTAGCCCAGCAGGTGTAGCCCAGCAGGTGCAGCTCCAGCAGGTGCCCAGCAGTAGGTGCAGCCCAGCAGGTGTAGCCCAGCAGGTGTAGCTCCCTGGCCAGGGTAAGTAAGATGGGTGTTGTTATGGGTGATCGTGACTGTGAAGACAGGACTCACTTCTGCAATTATCACAGAGCAAGTATTGTAATGTTGGAGTTCACTTCTGTCTTTCGTGGGGTGTAGGAAGGAGAGGTTAGGTAGGTGGGTGGGTGGGTGGATAGGTACACAGGTAAGTAGACAGATAGGTACTGTAGTTAGGTAGATAGATAGGTGGGCAGGTAAATAGGTAGGTAGACAGGTAAGACAGGTGGGTAGGTAGATAGGTACTGTAGTTAGGTATAGATAAGGGCAGGTAAATAGGTGGGTGGATAGGTACACAGGTAAGTAGACAGATAGGTACTGTAGTTAGGTAGATAGATAGGTGGGCAGGTAAATAGGTAGGTAGACAGGTAAGACAGGTGGGTAGGTAGATAGGTAGGTAAATACACAGGTGGATAGATAGGGGGAAGGTTGGCGTGTGTTTCAACTATAATAGGGAGGGGGTGAGGCTGGCCCAGTAAGGGGGGGGGGGCACTATACTGACGCTGGTATAATGACTCTTCCTCCTCTTTCCCCTCCTCCTCCTCCTTCTTCTACCCCTCCTCCTTCTCCCCCCTCTCCCCCACATACATGCCTAACCTAACCCAACCTAACCTAACGTGGAACAGGATTAATTAAAGATCACTCGTGTCTTTACCCAAGGCGCGCGCACGAACACACACACACACACCTCTGACGGGTTCCAGACATGTTGGTACACTGACTGATGATTATTATTATTGTTGTTGTTGTTGTTATTATTATTATTATTATTATTATTATTATTATTATTATTATTATTATTATTATTATTATTATTAGTTGCGTCACCGTGTGTTCGCTTTTCTCAATTTACACAAAGAAACGTTTCTGACCCACTTAAGAGGAATATTTTAACTTACGAGGAATATTTTAACTTATGAGGAATATTTACCTTAAGGGGAGTATTTACCTTAAGAGTCTTTAAGAATACAGGACCTTGGGTGTGTTATGTTAAATGGCGACCTTCTGGGTGGATAAATTATCATAACTACTTAATGATCTATTATTGTGCAGCCTTGAGGGGGAAGGGGAGGAAGTGGGTGTGGAGAAGGGGGGTGAGAGGGAAGCAGGAGATGAAGGGGAGAGTGATGATGAGGGGGGAGGTGTAGGACTGTCAGCAGGGGAGAGGATGGGAAGGAGAAATGATAATAATCGGTGGGGGGGGGGTGGAGGAGTGTCAGCTGGGTGGGGGAGGGGGGAGGGAATGTCAGCTGCAGGAGGGAGGGGGGAGGAATGTCAGGCCGCAGGAGGGGTGGGGAGGAATGTCAGCCGCAGGAGGGAGGGGGGGAATGTCAGCCACATGAGGGAGGGGACAAGGAGTGTCAGCCGCAGGAGGGAGGGGGAGGAATGTCAGCAGGGGCGGGGAGGGAAGGGAAGGAGAGGGGAGGGACGGGAAGGAGAGGGGAGAGAGGGAGGGAGATGCCTTAGGGGAAGTATTTACCGTAAGCCGCCCCAGGAGGTATATTTACTGACGTTTACATGAGATCCTGACGTTGGTACACTTGCTGATGTCTAAATGTCTGCTGGACCAATCATAGCTCACCCGCCTCGAGAACCGTCGACCAATCAGGGAGCAACTTTAAAAAATGACGTAATGGGAACCCACCATACAAGAATAAGTTTTTAAGTGATGACGTAATGGAGTACAGACCAATGAAGAAACTGTTTTCAGTCAATGACGAAACGGGAAGCTCACCAATCATAAACAGTTTTGATGCGATGACGTAATAGACAACCAACCAATCAAGGAGCAGTCTTATTCCAAATCCTTCAGTGCAATTCAACCTCAATATCTAGCTAATGACGTAATCGACAACGAATCAAGTGACGCAATGACAGCCAATCAAAGAACAGGATATTCTTATGCTGTTAATCTCCTCCCTACATTTTGCTTCAGCTTGCAACCAATGACATTCGAGATTCTTTTATCCCTTCGTTTATAGTTGGCACTCAAGATCATGTTTAATGTGGTCGGAGGGGGATCAGGGAGAGTTACTGTATATACTATGTTACTGTTTATTTTGGTACCTGAGAGAGAGAGAGACGATACCTAGGTCAATAGAGAGAGATAAGTAGGTGTACTGTAAGTATTGTTATCATAAAGTGAAGCGAAGTATCGGTATCGTCAAGTGAATCTCTGTAGTGCATCGTAAAGTGAATCTAAATCTCAGTATCGTCAAGTGAATCTCTGTAGTGCATTGTAAAGTGAAGCTAAGTCTCAGTATCGTAAAGTGAATCTCTGTAGTGCATCGTAAAGTGAAGCGAAGTATCGGTATCGTCAAGTGAATCTCTGTAGTGCATCGTAAAGTGAATCTAAATCTCAGTATCGTCAAGTGAATCTGTGTCTCAGTATCGTCAAGTGAATCTGTGTCATGATACAGTAAATCAGTTTATGTTAAGTAGACACAAGACTTCCTCCACCTGTACTGTTACTTGGAGGTCGTGGTAACAATGGTTCTTACCTGCCAGGAAACACCTTATGTATACCTGTTTACACCTCTTCTGTTTACACCTGTTTTGTTGATGCACCTGATTTGTTTATACACTTACATTTGTCGTCTGTTTACACCTTTTCCGTTTACATCTGTCGTCTGTATACACTTTTTCTCTTTACACCTGTTTTGTTTACATCGATTCTATGTTTACATCTGCACTTTGCTTACATTAGGTTTGGGGCCTCCTTAGTCCTGGGCCCCCCTTAGCACTGGCCCCCCTTAGCACTGGGCCCCCTTAGCACTGAGCCCCCTTAGCACTGGGCCCCCTTAGCACTGAGCCCCAAACATAATGGTAATGTTGGGGTCCATTAACACTGAGAGCCATTTAGCCAGGAAGGTAAAGAGGGAGGGAGGGAAAGAGAGAGAGAAGGAGGGAAGTAAAGAAGGAGGGAAGGTGAGAGACAGCAGGTGGTGTACCTCAGGGTAGGCGTCTAACTCTGTTTTTACCATCAGTCGTCGACCTTGTGCTGGCTCGCCTCATACTTACCTGCTTGTGTCAGCTCTATGAATGCTTATCCTGACTGCGACGACTGCATGACTGGGTTGGACAGACTGATTGTGTTTTGACTGAATGCCTGAGTGCTTGACTTGACTGACTGACTGACTGAAAGAACGTTAACACTTTGTGGATGTTATTGTTTTTCTTAACAGATGTATAGTCATTGTGATATACATATGAGGTGGGAGAAAGAAAGAGAGAGAGAGAGAAAGAGAGAGAGAGAGAGAGGGGGGGAGGGAAGGGGGGTAGAAGAATGTTATTATGTATCTATTCCTCTCCTCTCCATCTCAACAGGCCACTTCCTCCTCCGTCTCTCTCCTCCCTTCCTCTCCCTCCCTCCCTCCCTACCCCCTCCCCCCTCCTTCACTATACTTAACCAAAGCTAAGCCTCCCTCCCTCCTCCTCCCATCCACCTTCCCTCCCTCAGTACCCTCCCTCTCCCTCCTCGCAGCACCAGTCAGGCACTTGTACCTCCACACCCAACAACAAGGTCACGGTGTTAAAAATATACTTGTTTTACACACACTCTCAGATTTCCTGCTTCCCAACCCAACCACATTATATTTAGTTTAATATGAGAGAGTGATGTTTGGTAATGTGTGTGTGAGAGAGAGAGAGAGAGGAGAGAGAGAGAGAGAGAGAGAGAGAGAGAGAGAGAGAGAGAGAGAGAGAGAGAGAGAGAGAGAGAGAGAGAGAGAGAGAGAGAGAGAGAGAGGGGAATCAGGTGAGGTCAAGTAAAGGAGAGAAGGTGAGATGGAGGGAGGAAGAGACGATATGAGTGTGGGAGGGAAAAGTGAGTGAGAGATTTTCTGTCAGTGAATGAGTCAGTAAGTCAGGTAAAGACTCAGGTGTACAGTATCTGATTCACTTACCACATCACCAGGTAAGGAAGAAATTTAACCCACAACCCACTGAGCATATTGGGCTTACCTGTGTGTGTGTGAGGTAGGAACAGGTAGAACGGGACTCTTGTAAAGGTAAATAAGGGTTGTCCTTCCTTCGCTGTACACGGAACAAACAGAGGTGGAAACTATCACACACACACACACACACACACACCTCTATCTTCACAAACATATACACAATCTAACCTTTCCACCCTCCGTGTGTGTGTGTGTGTGTGTGTGTGTGTGTGTGTGTGTGTGTGTGTGTGTGTGTGTGTGGAGGGAGAGTATGATGGATGAGAGGGTTCCTAAGCCCCTGTACACGAGTATAGCCACGTTCCTCACACACTCACACACACACTCAAACAAATACACACACTCACATACGAGTGTCTGCCTGACCCACTGTTTTGTCTTTGTCAAGTGTACAGGTGAACACACACACACACACACACACACTGATACATACATACATGCATAAATACCTATCTACATACATACATACATAATATTCATGATTTTTAACGTGTTTCTCTCTTCTTAATTACAGGTAAGAATACACCTGAATACTGTAACTCCCTCGTCAGCGCCTTCTACAGCAGCACAGTCAAGGTAAACTCACACCTGTTGGTTTCCATTGAAGTTTATTAATATAATGTAGGTATTACTTGTGATTAGGTTACGTTAGGCTGAATTTAAATTAGTACTCTCAGTAAACGTGTGTGTGTGTGTGTGTGTGTGTGTGTGTGTGTGTGTGTGTGTACAAACATACACACATGACCTGTAACCTCCTCTTCCTCTCCTCGTCATCATAACCAAGATGAAATATGATGCTCAAGACGTTCATCTCCTGTTTCCTTACCTGTATAATTAACCTGATCATCTCCGCTTACTGATGCTGCTGGTGGTGGTGATGTTAGTGATGAATTTAGTGTGGATGATGATGATGATGATGATGATGATGGTGGTAGTGATGATGACACACCTTGGCAGTGATCAGGTGGAGGTTATGGCATAGGCAGGTGAGTGATGCCAAGGTGTAAGTATAGTGTCTGTGATATCTCTCTCTCTCTCTCTCTCTCTCATCACCACCATAATCGACCATTCTCCCAGCAGCTGGCTGCAAACATCAGCCATTTTGTTAATTTCCCTCCTGCAGCTTAACACGGAGACTGGAAGGTGGAGCCAGCTGTGGTGGTGGTGATGGTTGGGTAGAAGTGGGTGGGTGGGTGGTGGGTGGGTGTGGGTGGGTACAGGAGGGGTGGGTGGGGTGGGGGTCAGTGGGGTGGGAAGATTGAGTGGGTGGTGGGAGAAGGGGTGGTGGGGTGGTGGCGGTGTTGACAGAGGAAAGGAAAGCCACACCCACCAACCTAGGGTCTACAGAGCCTGGGTCCTCACCCCATTTTCCTCCCCAGCTCCCCACCTCCCCACCCACTCCCACCCCCACCCTCACCATCTCCCCACCCACCCCAGCCTCCCTCCTCCCCTCAGCCTCACCTCCTCCTCCCTACCTCACCTCCTCCCTCAGCTCCCCTCACCTCCTCCCCACCCACCTCACCTCCCTCCTCCCCAGCCCCCCTCACCTCCTCCCACCCACCCCACCCTCAGCTCCCCCCACCTCCCCACTCACCTCTCACCTCCTCCCCCTACCCACCTCCCCACCTCCCTCCTCCCCACCTCCCTCACCTCCCTCCCCCTACCCACCTCTCACCTTCCTCCTCCTTAACCTCACCCCTCTCTTCTTCTAGCGTGTGCTCCCAGATAGTCACACACCTGCCTTTCTTCCAAGCACGCCTGTATATACACACACACACACACACACACATACATTCCACACACACACACACACACACTACACTCACTCACTCCAATATTATACATATAGACTAGAGAGAAAGACACACACTCAGTATTTACCCATCATGTGCAGGTAAAGAAGACATGTTGGAAAGCGTGAACATTCTTCTTCGTATAGTGGAGAAGGTGATTGTGTCTGTCACGCCATCAGACCACAGGTTGGAGGTGTCACGGTTTGAGAGAGAGAGAGAGAGAGAGAGAGAGAGAGAGAGAGTCTTGATACAGGTATTCTCAGGTAATCTTTTAGAACCAATAATCTGGAGAATTTTGTGGTTAGTGGTTGGTGACGTGTGTGTGTGTGTGTGTGTGTGTGTGTGTGTGTGTGTGTGTGTGTGTGGCGGCTGATAAATTGGATAAGAAAAACAATAACATCAGGTTTATTTCCACACAGTAACATTATATACGTGCAGTAATTGCCAGAAGCAGTTCTTGCTCACCTTCCGGGAATCACACACTCAGGTAAATTCAATAACAGAAGTCAAAGTCATGGTGTTAGTTTGCGCGTGCAGGGTCGTTTGAGTCAGCTGATGGATGTAAATAAACAATTCTCGGTCAGAAGTTCGCGCAGGCTTTTAATCGCTCTGGTCAGCTAATTCGTGTAAATAAAGGAAGTGTATTTTGCGCGCGCTCGATCACTAGTCAGCTGATCCATGTAAACAAACAGTCACCTGATTAGTGTAAATAGAAAATATTAATAGAGATTAGTGTGTTTGAAGGGTTAAGTGAGAGAGAAAGGTAGAGACACAGAGAGAGAGAAGAGAGATAATGTAAAAAAAAAAAAAAAAACGGACCTTCAAGTTTCACCATAACGTATTCGCTCTAAAAACCATGTCGGAGAATGTAGATAATGTCGAGTATTTTACGTAAATTTTCCCATCAGCAGAGCAATGACTAGAAGGCCACGTCATCATCATCATCATCATCGTCCTCATCGTCATCATCATCGTCGTTGGTGGTGCGGTTATGATAAGTTGTGGATGCCGGAGGGGAAGCAAAAAAAAAGACGATGATTTTTCTGTTGTTATTATTTTTTCGTGTCACTGGTAGGAATGAATTTCTCCTTTGGCGGTAAATTTCTCTTCTTCGTTTACATTTCTCTCTAACACCTATCTTGGTTTGTCTTTTGTTTCATTTTTTCTCTTTCTCTCTCTGTGTCTGTCTCCCTCTTTCTCCCTCTCTTTATCTCTCCCTCCTTGCCTACCCACTTCTTCCATCATTCACTCTCACTCTCTTTCTCTCTCCCTCCCCCTCTCTCTTCATGCCTTTCTCCGTTCCTTCATTATTCTTCACTCTCTCTCCCTCCTCTCAAAATCTCTCCTCCCTCTCTCCCCCACTCTCTCCCTTCTTTCCCCCACATTCCTCTCTCTCTCACACCCTCCCCACACTCTCACCCTCTCACCTCAACTTGCATCATGGCCAGGTACAACACGCACTATAATCACCATCATTAACACATCATCGTAATAAAACAACACCACAGGGTCGACAGCCACTGGGAGCTGTTGAGGCAAAACACTCTACTCTTGTCCCACACCTTGACTCAGTGCCACGCCTGTCTTATTCAGTGCCACCTGTCTTACCTTGACTCAGTGCCACGCCTGTCTTATTCAGTGCCACCTGTCTTACCTTGACTCAGTGCCACGCCTGTCTTATCCAGTGCCACCTGTCTTACTCAGTGCCACCTGTCTTACTCAGTGCCACCTGTCTTACCCAGTGCCACCTGTCTTACTCAGTGCCACCTGTCTTACTCAGTGCCACCTGTCTTTAGAGAGTGCCACCTGACTCTACCTTGACTGAGTACCATATGTCTTGAGTATGAGAGAGAGAGAGAGAGAGAGAGAGAGAGAGAGAGAGAGAGAGTTTCACATACTTCTCCTAACATGTTGTCTTAGCATTTTACTCTCACTTTCCTAGCATCTTTCTCCACTATTCCCTCCTTTATCGTAACAGAGAGGTAATAACAATACTTAGAGTTAATAATGAGAAAAAATGAGTCAAACTAAATAAATAGTGTAGGAGTGATTTAAAGTTGTCTAGACCTCAGTTAAACCTGTTATTTCGGCTGACGGCTAAAACTTGCTGTGTTGTTTTAAGTGTGTGGGTGATGTCACGGTAAAACATTCATTAAATATGTGGGAAACGTACGTGTGTGTGTGTGTGTGTTAAGGTGTGCGTTGATGTTGAGTGATTTTTTCTTCATATTTATTTCTCTCTCTCTCTCTCTCTCTCTCTCAGCAGCGTCAAGAGTTAATGTTCACTTGGTCAACTTCTCCCCCAAGACACACCACTGAGCCCCCCACACATCTCCCACCCCACACCCCCCTGACCCCCACACCTCCACACCCTCACCCCAGCATTAGTCCACCCACCCATCTACATCCCCACACCCCCATCCCTGGTGTTGAGTTTCCTCCCCCATTCATCCCCCCACCCACCCCAACCCCACTCCTAGCTGTTCTGTTCAGTTCTAGCGGTGTAAAAGGTCTTAGGCGCGCAAATTGTCTATGACGGTTCGCGCCTTTTTTTTTTTTTTTTTCGTGCGCAATTTTGATGTGCTTGAAGTACGGTAGTTTGGCGTTGTAGTCTTAACGGGAAAGTAGTTGGAGCGCAAAAATATCTCTTTCTGGTAGTCGCATCGTGAGCCCTCAGACACCTGGGCGATTTCACTCCAGCTTGAGATATTGGTGTTGAGAATGACTTGCCTCGAGGGTGACTTAGTGTTACTTTAAGATACGGAACATGATAGATGGTAAGGAGCAGTAACACGTAACACTGTAGTAGTAGAGATGTGTGTGTGTGGGTGATGGTGTTTAATGTGGTTTTACACTCACTCACTCACTCACACTCACTCACACACGAGCATGTAGTGCGTGTGTGTGTGTGTGAGGTGCTAGTAAGTTGATACGACAGGTGAGTGTTTGTCGTCAAATAGCAAGCAACAATAATAACACCATCCACCACCACCACCACCAACAACAACAATAGCAAGAACAAAAACACCACCATCAACAACAACAACAACAACAACCATAATAATAACACCACCATCATCATCAACAACAAAAACATCACCAACAATAACAACCATAACAACAACAACACCAATAACAGCAGCAGTGAGAAATAACAGCACTAATAACAGCACCAATAACAACAACAATAACAGCAGGAGGGTCAGCGCACTAACCAGCAGATGTTTGAAGGTGTCCGTCCGTTTCTCACGAACCGGAAGTTTACCTCCTCCTCTTCTTCCTCATTCTTTCTCCTCCTCTTCTTCCTCATTCTTCCTCTCCTCTTCTTTCTCATTCTTCCTCTTCCTCTTTTCCAATACTTTCTTTATTCCATTTCTTTCTCCTTCCTTCTCCTCATTCTACTCCTCCTCCTCCTCCTCCTCCTCTTCTTCTCCTTCATTCTTCCTCATTTTTCACCTTCTCTCCTCCGCTTTCATCAAGACCTCCTCTTTTCCTATTCTATATTCTCCTCTTTTATCACGCTCATTCCTTCTACTCTTCCTCCCCCTCTCCTCCCCTCCCTCATTCTCCCCCCTCCCCCTCTCTCTGGATCTATCTGCCGACGATTAACAAACAGTAACAGGTTAATAATGGATAGAGAGAGAGAGAGAGAGAGAGAGAGAGAGAGAGAGAGAGAGAGAGAGAGAGAGAGAGAGGTGTACTTCAAGGCCAGACTTAAGTAGAAGGTTCCCAGTTTATTTCATAGGGCGTTTGTTTACATAATCTTAACAGCTGAGAGGTTAA